ACCGCTTCTGCGAAAGCTATGGCCAGTGTGTAGTCAATCTTAACAGGCGACATTTTAAATGCCTCAAACAGGACACTATAGAAACCGATGGAAAGTAGTGCGCATCTCATGAAAAAAAAACAGTTTATCGAGAAATTGGATGGCCATTTGGAGGAACAAAGTAAGTGTTGATTTTAGCATTGACAAAACTAACAGTTGTCTGTTGGAAGATGGTACAATACTTAGTTGGTTTTTTTTGTATATCTTCTGACACTATCGTGACATTTCCTGTACCCACCGCCCGACACACACAAAAAATCAACTGCATAAACGACTGAACATTGCGTTAAGGTAAGCATGTGAATAAGGAAACTTACTTTTGGGATCCAAAACGTAATCATATAACATTGACGCAAAACAGGTTAGAGACGATTTCAATGTTGACTGACATAATCGATTTTAGTAAATTTTTAACATTGTTTATCATGAATGAAAGTGAATTATGTCTGATTGAAATAAGCGCACGTAAATTCCGTGCAAATACAATTTACCTTCACCTTTCACTGCCCAAAGCTTAAAGCCATGCACATATTTTCTATAGTTTTATATTTTCAACGTGAACATACATAGATCTATTTATAATTAAATGTGTTTATTAATTTATCGGTTCTTTACAATTAAACGTCGTACAAGTCAGATACAGTTAATTGTATTTTCTTCAAAATTGTCTTCTTATGTCTGTAAGACGACACTTTTGAAGGAAAACTCGTACTGTATCCATTACATTCCTGTGTCGGCATGCTTGTATTTTCCCTTGTAGTTTCAGTTATTGATAGACTATTATAAAACTTATAGATAACTTAAAGCACAACAATGTAAGTTTCTTGCTAAGAAACATGGGATGGTCGCTGGCAGGGTTCAAGCTCACGCCTCGACAGGCGATGCCATAATTCCAAGTCCGACGTTTCAGTCTAGAAGTCACGGGTTCGATTTCTTACTCTTCTAATGTACTTACTCAAATTCTTTAGTTTAAACAATATTTTATTTATAAACATTTCATTGACATGATAATTGACAAATATTAAATTGCACGGATTGGGTAGAAAGCTTGAAAAGTTTTTTAGAAACTCCCTCCGTAAGGACTATCTCAAAGAGTATGTATAAAATGATAACAATTATATATGCATATTTGTGTTACATATACATATCATTTTCACTATAAACTTGCTTCTTTACATGTACAAGAAAGTTCGCAATTTGCACTCTGGTTGTCCTAATCGAACTGATTTAAATATTAAAGTATAGACTCAAATTCTTTCGCATTTGACCGTGGTCCCATGTGTTTACACCGGGCACACAAAAGAACCAACTGAATAGTATATATGCATTTTCCTCCGGTTTATAAATAATAAAATATACATGTACAGGCCTCGCCCAGATGGGCAACAATTAATAAATACAAATAAGATTATTCACCATTAGGTTAGTCATCATGATGCGGTGCAAGTCTAGCGCTAATGTATACGGTGCCACAATTTTCGGTGCGGACCCATGATACGGTACCAAGAACTCGGTCAGTTGTGACACTTTAATGACTTTTTTTAAGAAAGTAACAGCTTAAATTTGTGTGCAATATTATGTGTATAAATATCTTTAATCCTTACAGTTATATCAAATAAATATTTTGATTGACAACATAATTTTCTCATTTTAAAAGTTTTCCAAATGATCATTTTCCCCAAACCAGCTCTAGCTGTTTTCATTAAAACAAAGGAATCGTACAAGTCTTTGATAGAAACTAGGTGAAAACAAGCTTCAATGATCATAATATTCCGTAGACAACTTTTATGGATACACTTACTTTCATGCATGTTGTGTTTCAGTATTTATTTTTTGTCTAAAATGAATACGGTACTGCACGCAAGGATGATAAAATTATCGACGTGTACGTTGAAAAAAAATGATGCGTATAGCCCTTGACAACCCCGTGGTTATGCTTAATGTTTTGGGACATTCGGATGTCCCAAATTATATTTATATTTTTTTTACTACAGTAGATTAGATCGTGTTTTGAATCTAAAGTGAGCCTAATTCTGAGAACTGTACGTTTCTTGTACCAGAAATAAGGGAAATTGTTCAAATATATACACATATTGTAACAGGGTCTTACTTTTTCAAGATTTGGTGTTAAGGGACAAAACTCTTTGCTCGCTTGCTAATTTAATATATTTTGGGCAAAAAGGAAGACAAATCCGTCGAATCTTGTATGATACTTTTCAAGGGAAGATTACTATATTGGGGTTTGGTTTCACAATAATATATATATATATACACATAAGTTACATGGAAACCCCCAAAGCCAAAAAAGGAATGAATACAGATTGAGAACGACATTTATATTATTACGATAGTAAATCCCCAAATAATTTCTTTCTGACATGAATGGGAAACGAATCTCATATTAAATATATGCACTTATAATCTTGATCAGTATGAATGAATTCTTAATAAATTTCATAATTTGGCAATCCATCTTGGAAGATATCATTAATTGTGTGGGCAGGCTGGTGCCCCGAATCCAAAAAGCTTTAATGGAAAAGTATTCCCTTCTACAACATTTAACAGAGTAAGGGAACAATAAAGTTAATTAAAAAAATAGAAATATTACCCTCCCCATTAAATATACCTAGAAAAAAAATCTAATATTTTGAAGGGGTCGGTCACGCAAGATCCTTTGTAATAAGGTTTTTGGATATATGTGTGTCAACACAACGCGTTTGCAATTTTAATCGGATACAAACGCTAGATCATGCAAATTTGCAACCTCTAGTAATAGCAAGCAAAAATAAATTAAATCTCCTGCTTATGTTACCGCGACTTAATAACATTTCGCCTGCTGCTTTCTTTATTTTTAGTGAATTGCAAGATGTTACTAAAAATATCAATAAAAATTTTATTTTTATTTATTTTAACCCTTTTGATGACCCCAAAGTGCCGGCCGTTTTATCTGGGATGTTAAAAAAATTGCATACGTACCTGTTTAAAAACGCACTTTGGGGTCAAAATTGGACCCCAAGTGCGTAACGCACTATGGGGTTGGACCCCAAAGTACGTTACGGACTTTGGGGTCCGACGCGCAAAGTGCGTTTGACCCCAAAGTGGGGTGGGTTACATATAGCACTGATTTTCCTGGATTTCACGTGATTGGGGTCAAGCGGCGAATTCTGGATAAAATCGAACAGTTTAGTTCTAACGAACAAATGGGACTGTTGGCACGGGCTGTCAAGTGTCCATTTGCAAAACATTTTTTTTTTATTCGGAAAGTTAAATATAAAGTTTCCGCAAGTCTCGAATCTCGTTCCTGGCAATTTGTTTTGTGTGATTTTATTTTAAAACAGTGGTGCACAGGTCATAAAAATATTATGATAATGCGGAATATCAATTAATGAAAGACTTAAGTTTTGATCAAGTAGTTTTCATTATGTACAAGGAGAAAAATGGCACCAAAAATCAAGTTTTCTTTAGTAACTTATTAATGGTGTAAAAACCTGAAGACCCCATAGACTTACATTGTATCTGTTCACATTGCCCTTAATACAACAGAGGCAATGTTATTTAATTTACAAAATATAAGTTGATGCACGGCTGAATGCTTCAGATTAATTGCACTTCCAAAAAAATGTATTTTTTTTTAGTAAAAATTCTTTTATGCGCATAAAAATAATTGCCCGGTATCAAACATTGATTTTTTTTTTATGGCATCTATCTATCATATACATCTCTCTTGTTATATTATGGTGCTCATTACAACAATCTAACTTATCAACAAACATGCATTTTCCCATAACATGCAAATTTTAAAATACTGTCTTACATGTTAAAATTTTTGTAATAAACGTCCCCTTATGAAAATAAATTGTATCCGCCGCAGATACATAGATCAGGTATCCTCAAGTTTGAATTTCACTTATCTCCGTGGTTGGGGCTCTAGGTCCGAACACCGAATTCTGATATATGGGTTTTGCCTGCCTGCACGGCATTAAATATTTACCTCTTCGTATGATAAACCTAGTTTGACCGTAAATTTGTAGATGTTTGCCCCCTTAGCTTTCGCATTAATTAACCAATGAAATAATTTTTAATTGGAAAAAGTTTTCCATAGAGCTAAAACAAAGAGCAAACTTAACAACCGCCGGGACCAGGGGCAAACGCTCGAATTTTTACTTTTTTCTAAAAGCAAACAAAAAAAAGGGTTTTTGCGCAAAAATCTTAACGTTTCCTTTTTTATTAAATTTAATCGGTCTGTCCCTTGTCACATTAGTTTTTTGTCTATATATTTTTGTATATTATATAATTATAAGGCTCAAATTTATATATATGTCTGGTTATTTTTAAAGGGTTTCCTTGAAGATTATCATGTTCATGCTTGGAGAGACAATCCAAATTCAAAATACAAAGGTTTTTAAGCCAATATAGCAAAAAAATGAAAATTTCAATAATAATTTGACCTTCAAAAAGTCATGTGAATTTATGAGTGAAAAGGGGTTTTTTTTTTTTTTTCCAAAAAAAAAAAGGTCTTTCTGGTTATTTTTTTAAGGGATAATCCCTTGAAGATTATTATGTTCAAGTTTGAATTCCATTCAAACATAACCCAAAGTTACAGCCAATAATAGCAAGAAAAAGCAAAAATTTTTTGGACTTTTTTAAACCCTTGAAAGGTCAAGGTCATTTATAGGATGAAAGGTCAAGGTTAGTGTGTGGTCTACTGAAAGGTCTTGTCCCAAAGGGTTGTTGTGGCAAAAGTATGAAGACAACAATACAAACCAAGAACTAGAAAAGTTATGATACAGGGTACAAGTTTGCGGATGCAAACGGCAACGCCGCCGCGACTATAACAGTACCTCTACTTTTTAAAAAAAAAAGTCGAGCTAAATATGAATAGAAATGGCTTGGTTAATAAGAATATTTACCAACAGATCAACATACAAGTAGTGGAATATGAACAAACAAAACAATTTAGCTGATGTGTGTTATTTTTTATTAGTATTTTATTATATCTTTCCAGTTCTGACTGCCAAAACACAAACCACACTACTTTGCGCATGCCATACAAATACGCATTCAACGATATGATTTGACAATAAATAACTGCTGTAAAATTATATATTTTCACAAGGCAAGATTTTGCAAATATCAACATTTTGATCTTATTTTGGAAGTTAGATATTCATCAATTTCTCTACTTTCAATTCTGTTAAAAAATTTACACTGGAGATACTTAACCACTTTTTAGCAAAAAAATTTAAATTCATGAAATTAATGAATTTAAATCCCTTGTGATTTTACAGATACTTATTAAACAGGAGTAATATATACATCTTTTCATTCTGAAACAATTTTAACAAAGTATCCATATAATTTCATAAGTATTTGAAAATGTGAAAACAACAGACAACAAGAGCTGTCACAGGAGACAGCGAAGCTCGACTAATAAAATACTGGACGCAGTAAGGAAGACAAAACTATGAAAGAAAAATCAATTATGTATAATTATTTTTTAAATTATAATGAAAAAACACTGTTAACATAAATTCCAAGATCAAGGGGAATAATTCTAGAAATAGTCACGCTAGTTATGAACCTTGTCACACAACATGACTGTGTGTAATGATAAGAAATATATATTTGAAGTTTGAAGTAGATACCTTAAAAAGTAAAGAAGTTATGATTTTTCGTGAAGAAAATCCTAAGTTCAAAGAGAAATAAATCTGTAAATATTGCTTCAAGAGTTATGAACATTGTCACATAAAATGTAATTGATGATAAGGAATAAGTATTTGAAGTTTTAGGTAGATACTTTTAAAACTAAAAAAGTTATAGTAAAAAATAACATTTTTCTAGTAAATATATCTAAATTTATGGGGATATAATTCTTGCAATATTGGTGCTAGAGTTATGAACCTTGTCACAAAAAAAATGTGGATGATGATATGGTACATATATTTGAAGTATGAAATTGATCACTTAAGAAATAAAGAAGTAACAGTAATAAATAATATTTTTAAGGAAAATTCTAACTTCAAGGGGAGATAAATCTGAAAATATTGGTGCTAGAGTTATAAACCTTGTCACATAAGATGTGGTTGATGATAAGGAACATATATTTGAAGTATGAAGTTGATCCCTTAAGAAATAAAGAAGTAACAGTAAAAAATAGTATTTTTTAAGTTCAAGGGGAGATAAACCCGAAAATATTGGTGCTATTTATAAACCTTGTCACATAAGATGTGGTTGATGATAAGGAACATATATTTGAAGTATGAAGTTGATACCTTAAGAAATGACAAAGTTACAGTGAAAAATTTTTTACTGCACCAAAACTTTAATCTGAAATATGGACGCAGACACTGGGGCGAGTAGGACAGCTCTCCATATATTCGTATAGTCAAGCTAAAAATCACAATGGATTTTGCCTTTGTAAAAACAAGACCACAGTTTGTTTGTTAACATTTATAAACACTTTTGACATACATGTAAATTCTAAGTTAAAAATAGGCATTATTCCAGAAATATAGCTTTCAGAATTATGATTCTTGTCAAGATTAGCAAATATTCCAAGTTTCATGCAGATAACTTTTAACATGCTTGAATAATGTGCTAGTATTTGGAAGAGTAAATCAACCAGGATAACGTTGACCGGAACAACTAAAGTGACAATGCAGTTATCATAACAGCTTGACTCTTTCTTCGATGCAGACAAGCTAAAAATGGTTGTTTTGTCTATTTGAAGCTGTATTGAAAACTTTTTATCATGATGTTTCAACAGGACATGTTACAGAGTATGAAATTTTCAAAAGATTTAAATTATTTTAACATTCTTTTGTGATTCAGTGAAATCTACATATAACCATCTGAAACTAAAATTCAGAAAAATTCTTTACTCTTCTTTTCCCAAAACACAAACTTGCAATTACAGCAAAAGATTCAAAATTGCTCTCAACAACTGAGAAAAAAAAACCTTTTATATACGTCCCCATAATTTTATAGAATTCAATCAGCAACAGTCTTAAAACTTGAACTCCTCTTTCATCCAAGTACAGAAGGCATTATTCAAAATCAGATTTTTAACAAACTTCACACAATCACTCTAAACACTAGCTTTACATATATTATCTTAGATATCTGTCCTTATCCATATCAACAATTATTCATTCAATAAATCAAATCTTTCATTAACTTGGTACATGGCAATTTCCCCCTGTGTCAATACTGCATGAATATGCTTTTTATCATAATATTACATTTTATAAAGTCCAGTCATCCATTTAGCTCACAATTTCTTTTTGCCCTTCTTATTCCCCTTTGTTGATTTTAATCTCGCCTCTTTCTTCCTCTGTGTAAGCTTCATTTGCAACTTTTCCTGAGCTGTCAGTTCTTTCTCCTTTGGTTCATCCATGACTTTGCTCTTTTCTGTTTCATCCTTCAGTTTCTGCACCTTCTCTAATAAACTTAATTCTTTTGTTGCTTTCCTTTTACCACCTTTGGTAGAAGCAACATTGTTTGCTTTCTCAGAAACAGGTTTATTTTTCATAGTTTCCTTTACACTTTCCTTTTCATTTGTTTGATCATTTTTCATTACAAAACCGCTATATGTTTTCTTTTTTGTCTGTTTACGTGCAAAAGAAATACCTGTAGATGTTGATGCTTTGTTAGGTTTTTCTTCAGGACTATCTGTCTGTGTCTGAGTAGCTGTTTGTGTATCAGTTTCAATGGGCATTATTTCTCCACTTTCCTCTCTACTGGTACTATCCTCACTTGTATTAGTAGCTGGGAAATTTTTCATAAAAAAGGCCCTTTGTTTTTTCATAAAGGAGTAATTTTTAAAAAAGAAACATTTTACACATGGGGAAATTTTGGGTTAGTGAAGCTAGAATTACAGTTTCTAAATATCTTTTAAAGTGCATGCCTCCAGATGAACCAAAATATTCAACAAAATCTAAATTGAGAAAAATGTACAAGGATTTTAAAAAAGTAGAAATAGTCAAGATTCAAGTAATATTATGTTAATGACTGACTTGTCAGTATTTATCACCATGTTTCTACTGCATAACTAACGCAGTAATGACTTTTTTGTCTTTTTCTACTTTTTTCTTGTCCAATCCAATTTCACCGCAGTAACACAATATTTTACTTTCAAAACAATTTTCAAAATTTTCATGAAAATTAGCATAAATCTGGATGCATGGTGCTGTAAGCATTGATATCACTAGCAAGAACTGAAAACTTTTGTTGTTGTTAAAATTGCATGTTAGGCAAACAAAGAAGAAAATCTTAATCATATTCTTAAATAAATTAGATTTTATGTAATCAACAGGAGCAGATCTGGGATTTCTGGCAGGTGTGGGAAGGGGAACTGTTGTTGACAATGCACCAACAAAACAATATTTTAGAGCTTTGAATTATTTTATTTTTTGTCACAAGGCTATTAAAAGCAATCATTTGTTACTGAGCCAATTAAAGACATGTGGACCAAAGGTGCATAAAAATACTGTAAAAATATATGTAAAACACAAGTCATCATGAAAATTTTTTGAAGGTCAAAGATTCAGTAGCTATGTAAGTACTACAAATATAGAAAAAATAATTGTTCAAATAGCTTGATAGTTAATTGAAGAAAAACCATATCAAGTTAAGAAATACTTGCCTTAAAGGAATTCATATTAGTATTAATATGACTAAATATGACTAAAATTCTTAAAACAAACAAATAAAGTCAATGACTTCTTTGATTAAAATTAATAAATGATACAAATCTGTTCACTACAATTTGCATAAAAAACAACAGAGAAACAATGGCATTCATTACATGTAATACACAACAACATGTAGTTTTTGCTCAAGAAAAGCAATTCAATGAAATTCAGGAAAGATAAATGCTGTTCCTACAATTATGATTTCAAAAACATGAGTACAAAAATTTTAATCAAAAACTTTCAGTGGTTTATGAGACAGTACTTATGCATGAAACAAACAGGTTAAATGCTTCCATAAACAGTAATATTTATAGTCAAAGGGAGATAATAAACAACTGGGTCAAAAAGGAATGGAGACAATACAAGAACACTCCATGAGATTATCTATTTGTTGACTCTAGCTTAAGCACTTTGAGGACCAGAATTCTGTCAAAATGCATGTAAGAGTAATGGGCCTAGATAGTGAACTTTTAGTATGCTCTGAAATAAGTGAGTGAAGTTTCAAGCCATTCTCTTTAAAAGTTTAACCGATACCAACTTGCACACAAAAACTTAACCATAGTGTGACGCAGACGCCTGGGCGAGTACAACAGCTCTCCCTGTTTTCATGATGTCAAACTGCCATGCCTACAGGCTCAACAGAATGTATAATCAGATGAAGGTGGAGTCAAACACATACAGTATACATATCATTACACAAGCTAAAAATGGAAAGTTCAATCATATTTTGCATAAAACAAATATTGTCTAGATTGGGATCATTTATGCATTTCTTGAAATACAAATTTAACTTTTTTAAGTTTAAATGAGTTTGAACATATTTACTTTACTAGTCTGAAGGATTTGCCAATTAAAAAATATCATCTTAAAACAAACCTGTTGTTTCAGAAGTCTTCGGGATAACCTCATCCAAATTAGGCATGCAGAACAATTCTTTTATCTGGGAGATTTCCAAAGGTGCATCCTCACCCTCTGAAATATAAATTACATATTACGTCAAAATACATCGAACAAAGGAACATTTAAAAGAGATTATATACATAATTATATTAATATCAAAAATGATTTAAATACACATCAATGGAAATACATCATGTTAAGATAAAAATACTAGTGTAATTATGTTCTTACTATTGTACAGTGTATCTAAGTCAGTCATATCAACATAATTACCATGTAAATTAATAGCTAGATTATAATTGGCAATTTTTTAACAAATGTACAATATACAATACAACAAATACAAATAACTTTTATGTAAATGTATAATAGAGGTATAGGTAGGAAAAGTTATGAATTATTTATTACCCATTAATTTTGTATGTAAGCAGAATAATTTTTTTTTTGAAACAAGTTATTTTTCTGCTACTTAAAATAGCGTTGTATCTGTTTAGCAATGATTTTGTGCATGTGCCATCCGCTTTTAAGGCAATTATATCATGTTTACAGTACATTACAAGCATTTTGGAAGTAAAGTGGAAGCCCATTGTATCATAGATCTAATTACAAATCATGTGATATTTTGCAAAATGCGCCACCTAATGATTGATTTCATTTGCAACAATGTCATGTCCAACTTTCTTTTTTTTTTGTTGCAAAAATTATCAAAAACATGTTCCCAGTTTGTAACATCATTGTACATGATAGACTTGTAAATAGTGTGTTCTAGTTAAAGTTACATTTGCTATCTGTTTAAAGTTCCTAAATTTATGTTGACATTTTAAAACAGACATCTTTGTCTCTAACTGACTAAATAATCTAACATAAAGATGGTTCAGACTTTCCAGTCTTTGACTTACAGAGCAATTCCCACATTGCATCAATATCATGATGTGACCTAATTTTCCAACCTGTTTGACATGGCTGTCAATATCTGTATATTCAAAGCTAAAGACTGTATTTCAGTGAATTTTGCCATGTAAATATTTACAAAATAAAGATTCAAGGTTTAAATTTTTATAATTGCTCTTGTAATATATGAGTTACTAGATCGATACAACAGGGTTGCAGGCTACTGTTTTTTTAAATTCTGACAATAATTTTTGCAGCAGATATATAGCTTTAAACACCTTAAAAAAAATCGAATGGATAATGATGGAAGCGCTTGCCTCTGAGCAATTTGTGCTCAGGCAAAGTAAAAAATCCCATAGAAAAAGAGTTAAATATTGAACATACCATCTTTGTCATATAAAGATCTTTTCTTCTTTATCCTTTTTGTTGTGTGTAGCTCTACATAATTATCTACACACTTAACTTCTGGTTCAGTGTCCTCAGTTGATTGACTGCCCTCTGTTAAAAGTAAATTAAGTAGTCATTTCTGTGTTTCAATTTTAAGTGACCTTAAGCAAAAAATCACACCAAGGCCATATGGTGTTTAATATAATTAAATTTGAAACAGCCTTTTTTGTACATATCTTGAAGTTTCAGACAATACAGTTACAGACTTATACACTACAGTTTCAGACTGGTATTTACACAAAAGTTTCAGACTGGTTAATACACAACAGTTTCAGACTGGTTTATACACTACAGTTTCAGACTGGTAGATACACTACAGTTTCAGACTGGTAGATACACTACAGTTTCAGACGGGTAGATACACTACAGTTTCAGACTGGTTTATACATGTTATACACTACAGTTTCAGACTGGTTTACACACTACAGTTTCAGACTGGTTTATAAACTACATATTCTAACTACATATTCTGACTGGTGTATATAAAACTACTGTTTCAGACTAGTTTTTATATGATCCTAAATTTGTGAATTGCAAATTATGTTATTTTAAAGCTGTTCTAGCTATTCTGCAACTTGAGACTTGTTTAAAATATGATGCAGTTAGTGACTGTGCATTTTGAAATTTAAGACTGATATTATATTTATAAGGTCACTGACCATATATTATTAGTTATAAAGATTTTTAACAGGTTATATGGCCCTATATAAATGGCAGTTTGTAAATATACACCAAGCCAAAAAGAGAGGGTTAAACAGAATACAACCGTTTACATACAGTCATATAACCTGTCTGAAATATTTATAACGAATTTATCATACCGCAAACATCTTTTTTTGGGGGAAAAAAGTGACTTTTTTTTTAAATTGACAGCATCTTTGTATATAAAACTATATAAATATCATGATTATCCAATGAAAAGCCACATTACAAACATGCAGTATTATAAGATATATATAATTAGCAAACCATTATCATCCTCTGCTCTTCCAGGCAATGACTCTCTGTAACCAACCGTGCCTTGCTCAAAAGCTTTCTGTTTCAGCTGCTTTTTGATAGACTGGGACTCATTTGTCTAAAGAATAAAGGCAAGAAAAAAAGTGACTTGTTTTCATTTGAATATTATTTTAAAAATTAAAATAATTTCAACAACAAATATACCAAATGTTGACACTTTAATTTCAACTAAATTTTGTTTGAGCATTGGAAGATTTTATTTCAAACTTCACATTACTTAAAGCTTTATAACCTTTTAAACATACATGACTATAAGCAATAACAATTTAAGAAGAATAAAAATTATCATGAAAGCCGAATTGTTGATAAATAACAATTTATCAAAATTCATGTGTTGTTGTTAGATTTTTCTATCTGTTAACTATTTAAAGGGATACCATTGAAGCTTTTTTACATGACAGGACTGTATATGATTTTTTGAGATAAATGTTTCATTTGATGTAGTCTAGATAAATACTTGCGTGCCAAAATAAAATATGATTAGAAAGTGACTAGGTGAGACTTGTTATTTATGTTTATTGTACCACTTTGTATCTGTTCCATTGTTAGCAGGAATCATAAAATAAAAACAAACCTTTGAATCTTCTTTATCTTCTGCATTCTTATCTTTCTGAAAATAATGAAACAGAACTAGTTTGTTTGTTTGATTTGGTTTTACATAACAACAACACAGTATAGGTCATACGGCGATCTTCCAGCTTTACTGGCGGAGGAAGACCTCAGGTGCCCATCTGTGCATTATTTCATGCACAAAAGGGCACCTGAATAGAACCACAGACGTTTCGTAAGCTAGCTGGATAGCTTCCTCACATGAAAGAATCCAAAGTCCCTGTAGGGATTCAAACCCACAGCGGTGAGAGGCAAGTGGTTTGAAGTCTTGAATATTTCTGCAATAATGAAAATTAATGGGGACATTGTATCACTACAATTCTTTAATGTTTGCTTCCTCTTTTCTTGTTATGCTTTTACGTAACTTAAGTCAAAACTCTTTTCCAGGACCTAGACAAGCACTTCAAGTCCTGACAACTGCTTCTGGTGAAACCAGTAATAGTACCAGTATTAAAATTGTGGCACTCAAAAGAGATTCTCACATCTGGTGAACCAACAAGCCAAGGTTAAAGATTTTCCTAATGTTAAAAATACTTTTACTTGTCCATGGTTTCAGATGAAACGACATTTTCCAGATTATTTTGTTCTCGTCCAACAACAAAATCTGATTCAATAACACACAAAAAAGCTTTACTTTTGTAAACCTCTCTTCAAAGAAACAACAATAATTCTACTAGAACAAGTTGACAAGATGTATGCTGGGATCATGGCATGAATTACCCTTAAATTGCGAATGCCAAAAAATCCATTAATTCTACCCATGTTACCTATCCTGTCTGACCATGGTCTACACTGTTCAGTATTCAGTCTGTATATATTTTTAAACATTTTCCGTAAAAACTGAAAAATGGTTTTGTCCAGAAGGATGGATAAGTCCATTTAAGACATTTACAGCAGCATGCCTCCAGATTCATGTTAATTTTCATGAAAATATTGAAAATGTATTTAAAAGTAAACAAGTATAAAATAACCAAAAGGAAGCAATATACACATTACAATCAGCAGTGCCAACTCACTTTTAAATTACCGAAACAAGGTCAAAATATTCAAAAACAGCCTTTACTGTAATAATAACAAACTAGAAATGAGGTGATAAATGCTGAAACATCAATCATCAGTGAACATAACATGTAAATTATTACTTTAATCTTGAACCTTTTTAATTCTCCTAAATATTGTAGCTTTCTTAGATTTTACTAAAACATTTTTTTAGCTAATCTGCATTTTTAAGCTGCTAATAACATAAAGGTTAAACATTATCATGATTACTGTATAAGTACTTTTTTCTGCCGGAATTTTATTTCTGCTATTTAAAAACTGCAGAAAATTAAGCCTTTCCTATTTTATATGTCGAAATATTTCAGCTTAAGGGATAGTATAATTACATTACCATGTATCGTTAACAGCTTTTGTAGATGGGATTTTTTCTTTATGTATCCGTGAATAATTTTTTAGGGAAAAAACTTACTTTGCTTGTTCTTTTTGTTGAAATAAATAATTATCATGTTTGTATGATTTTCGCTCACCCCAAGCTTGATGGGTTTTTTTGTGTGAATAGTTTTAAAGAAAAATTATTATAGTTTGACAGGTGATACAACAAGAGCTGTCACAGGAGACAGCCAAGCTCGACTAATAAAATACTGGACGCAGTAAGGAGGACAAAACTATGAAAGAAAAATCAATTATGTATAATTATGTTTTAAGTTATTGTAAAAAAATAACATTGTTAACATAAATTCCAAGATCAAGGGGAATAATTCTAGAAATAGTCTCGCTAGAGTTATGAACCTTGTCACACAACATGTGTGTAATGATAAGAATATATATTTGAAGTTTGAAGTAGATACCTTAAAAAGTAAAGAAGTTATAATATTTCTTAAAGAAAATCCTAAGTTCAAAGAGAGATAAATCTGTAAATATTGCTTCAAGAGTTATGAACATTGTCACATAAAATGTAATTGATGATAAGGAATAAGTATTTGAAGTTTGAGGTAGATACCTTTAAAACTAAAAAAGTCATAGTAAAAAATAACATTTTTCTAGTAAAAAAATCTTAGTTTATGGGGAGATAATTCTTGCAACATTGGTGCTAGAGTTATGAACCTTGTCACATAAGATGTGGATGATGATAAGGTACATATATTTGAAGTATGAAATTGATCCCTTAAGAAATAAAGAAGTAACAGTAAAAAATAAAAAAAATTAAGGAAAATTCTTAAGTTCATGGGGAGATAAACCCAAAAATAGTGGTGCAAGAGTTATGAACCTTGTCACATAAGATCTGGTTGATGATAAGGAACATATATTTGAAGTATGAAGTTTATCCCTTAAGAAATAAAGAAGTAACCGTAAAAAAATAGTATTTTTTAAGGAAAATTCTAAGTTCAAGGGGAGATAAGTCTAAAAATATTGGCACTAGAGTTATGAACCTTGTCACATAAGATGTGGTTGATGATAAGGAACATATATTTGAAGTTTGAAGTTGATACCTTAAGAAATGACAAAGTTATAGTGAAAAATATTTTACTGCACCAAAACTTTAATCTGAAATCTGGATGCGGACGCCACCGCCAACGCCGGGGCGAGTAGGACAGCTCTCCATATACTTCGTATAGTCGAGCTAAAAATGACCCTTGTTTGTTATTGTCATTCAAACCTGCTATAAACATACCTTTTATGTATTTGTACAATATATTGTGCTGACGTGCGATTTTGCTATTGTTTATTTTCACACTTCATATTCATTAAAATTTGTCATTGCACGTTTTCTTGTGGGTTTTTTTAACGTGTATTGACCGATAAATGTTGATTACGACAAATTTATATTATCAGTCATGGAAGTAATGTTACATCATCAAATCTTGAAATGTTGTCTGTTTTTATCGGTAAATATTGTACAAATTCATGTATCTTAGTTAAAACGCAGAAATAAAACTCATCAATGCAAGAATGATGACACCGCAGAAATAAGATACGCAGAAATTTAAAACCCCTTTTTTTAACAAAAATCGCAGAATATTAAGCCCGCAGAAATAAGTACTTATATGGTATCTCAAACATATTTATAATTAATACATTAAATTTCAATTGTTATTTGTTTATTAAGTTTATAATTAATAAACAATTTCAGGACTTATCACCATCATTACTATTTACATTGCTATTTTCAGTGAGCTTAAACACTGCATTTAATGCAACTAAAACAATGTTGTAAGATATCCCTTTAAAGTAAAATAGTATTTTATCTTTTCAATGTGTTTTTTTTTACATTAAAAAAAAACGATGGAAGAATTCAGAGCTCCGATAAGATGTGTATTTGCAAATTTCAAATACCCTTTCAAAAACAAAACTGGCAGTGAAATACTCCTAAGTTCAAATGCTTATCTGAACCTCTTGAAGATTCAATGTGACCGAGTATGAAAAAAATTCTTTCTGTGTACAATTAACAACTTATAAGTATAAATTGAAAATGGAAATACTTACAGTTTGAGTTTTAAAGCCAGTTTGTCTGTCTTTATATGTCTGTAATGTTCTGGAATGGATACAAAATATACATTAGTCACCCTATATTTCTATATAAGCTATCCATATACCTGTCCCACTCAAAGTATCATTTATTAAAGCAATATGCCTTCAGATTCTTGCTAATTTTCATGAAAATTTTGAAATAATTATTGTTATGTAAACAAAGAATGTATTCTAAAAATTGCAAGGGGCACTTACAATCCACATAAATAACCAAAAGGAGGTCAAAATATGCAAAAATAGCTCAAAATGATCAATGATTAGTTGTACATACATGTAACATGTAAATTATTACCTGAATCTTGAATATTTTTACTTTTCTTAAAATCTTATTACATCTTCCCCAAGATTGATTTTCTTGAAATATTTTGACTCATATGTAGATAATATGCAGCTTTAAACAAGATTGATACATCCACCCTTGGGGCAGGACATATGACTTATCTATTCTGCTGAATTTTGTTTTATTTAAGTTTTGGTTTGAAGTCCTATAAATTATTTTCTTTTAATAACTGTGTACATTTTCTTACATTAAAGTATCTGTTTCATTTATATATTTATTTTTTTTGTGTAGGGTTGTGCATCACATAACACAGAAGAGGTCATATGGTGACATTCTAGCAATACTGATTAAGGAAGAAGTCAGGTGCCCCATCGTACATTATTCCAGACCAAAGCGACACCAAAGGTGAACCACTAACAGTTCATAATTGTTCATAATTCAGTTAAAATCCTTGTTAAGAGTAATGGGGCCTTCAAAAGTAACCTCAAAATATCAAATCAAAAACACATGTATAAAGATTTGAAGTAAAAACCTTCAGAAGTTTTGGTTAAAATTCATGAGAGATATATGTAATTTTCAACTGTTACTTACTTATATATACCACTAATAAGGTCAGGGTGTACGATGTTTAAAGAGGTGTCAGGTTCTGAAGCATCTTCCCCATTTAAAGCCAACTTCATCTTCTGATACTGGTCATGTACCAACGCCAGTTGCTGCAGTATATTTATATACACAAATGTATATAACAGAAATATTTATAACTTTCAGTGTATAAAGCTATTTATTACATGTATATGATCTAAAAATAGCTGCAATCTCATAGGTCTGAACAATAGTAAACAGAAACAAATTATAAAATCATATTCACTGGGTGTAGTATAATATTCACTAGATGAATTAGCCTATTCCCTATTATAATTTAAAACAATTATTGACTAGTGAACCATAATGAGATATTCACCGGCAGAAAATCATATTGACTGAAGGGATATGTCATCTGCCAGTGAATATCACATTATATTTGATGGTTCACAAATTCTATATAATTATTTAGAGTTTATAAAAAAAGGCTTGTTAAATGGTGGTGTTTATTTACAGGGTGGTCTTTATTCGGAGTTGGTCTTTAACACAAAATCTGACCACTTTTTTCTACAAATCTCCAGCAAAACTTTCAAAATGCTTCGATTATAATGACATCCAAGAGCCACATGTTTGTGTCTAAAAATACTTACATTTAAACTTGAGCTTGAAAAGATCTCATCTAACATGCTAGTTTCTTCCTTCATACTATCGGGAATAATTTTGCTGTCTTCAACACCTTTTGATTTGTGGCCTGCCTGTAAAACAAAAAAAGCCATATATCAGTAGGGTTGCTTTTAAATGAACTTAAAATGTGGCCTTTGCCTTCTGTATGGGAAAATGGCAATTATCGTGTGAATGCAAGTTTGGGGGAAATTTCATATTCATGAAAAACTGACATGTTACCTTTGCCTTTCTTTGGGGAGGTTTAGGTGTTGGTTTTCAGTCCTGCCAAAACACTGCAAAGGTCATATGACAATTTTTCCAGCTTTACTGGTGGAACCAGTCCTCAGGTTCCCCTCCCTGCATTATTTCAGATAAGCAGAATCAACTCCACATATAAACCCCTGGTTTTCATGGATAGATCAATCCACGAAATTAAGAATCCTCACGAACTTCATTTTGTCAGCTGTAACATTTAATTGCATTATATTATCTACAACAAAAATAGACAATTCACAAATTTAAGAACAAATTAAAGAACCCAAAGGAATGTTAAAGCACAAAACAAAAAAAGTCCATGCGCAAAAAAATAAGTGAATTCACAGCACATTTAGTCTCTATAAATTATGACTGATAGTGCAAAAGGGACAAAAATGGGGGTTTTGGTCAAACCTGCAGCGATCAGACAACCAAATAAAAGAATTACCCCTGTCATAATAGGTCTGTCTTACATGCAAATAAATATGGTACTTTATACTGGTGAGTTATTCAATACACTACGTTGCCTCCAACAAAACTTACCATTACATATATCTCTAATAAATTTCTCACATAAGTACATGTAGTTAAACAAAAGTATTTACAATCATAATTGTAGGAATTTCCTTAAGTATTTATGAATGTAAAATTTCAGGTGAATACTGCCATAGCCTATAGTAACACTGGTCACTGGTATGAATTATCATAGCCAGGAATTCTATTTGAATACAAAAAAGGGCCATATTTCAGTAGAAATCATGCCAGATTTAAAGTTATAGGACAGCGATATACATTTTTCATCCTGAAGAATGAATAATGAAGAGATAATGAGAAAGATACATTCTACACTTCCACAGTCTTACACTGACTCCAACACAACACTGATCCACATCCCATTCTCCTTCAAAAAGGTGGAAAAGCATTTTATTCAATATGATATAATTGGAGTTTTTTTGTGTAAGAATGTGTGTTTTTTTGTTGTTTTTTTAAACACATGGTGATTTCACATAAACATGGTGATGAAAAAGTACTGCATATGACTCTCCATTAATTATTGCAGTCTGCAGTCACATATATAATATGAGGAAACCCTGACCTGGAAGGCACCAGCATAACCTAATTCAAATAGATAAATTAAATGCGAGCACTCAAAGTCAAGAAATCTTAACTTCTAAGCTAAAGTTGCACTAACAATACCTAAATGAGAATACACAGAGTAAAGGCCATAAAACAAACCTCTTCAGGAGTAGCAACAAACTGAAATGCTTTTTCCAACAACAGTTTCTGGAAGACAAAATCCAGATCCAGATGCTGTTGTTCTCGAGCTTCTTTCTGGAACTCGACTATTTCCTTCCATTGATCAGGTGTGGCTCGGATCTTTATAAAAATAATAGCAAACATTGAAAAAATATACACATATTAGACTTTACTGGATATATTGTTTCATAAAGGTATATTGAACAAGTCCTACAAATGATCCTATGGTAAGTTTTAAGTTACTAGTAGTAACAACTACAAGATTCATTTATCACATTAACCTTTAAAACAATTGCATAGAAAAGCTGTATGTAAAAAGTGTGCACAATTACCATAAGTTGATAATGAAATATGAACAGGCCCCGGTTTCACAAAGAATCTTAAGTTATTACTCATAATATAACTCAAATTATGTCTTAAGTCGAATAACCTACTCAACTGAGTAAGTACCTTTTTGTGCGTTTCATGAAAGTACTTAAGTTTAAGCTCAGTTGAGTCAAAAGTTATAACTAACTAACAAGACCTCCTTGAAGTAATACTTAATAAGAATACATTCTTAAAAACCGCACTTGAAAAAGAAAAGGTATTTAGAATAAGGTGGATGAAATAAATCATTAACTACATGTACATGTATGTTGGCAACTAGAAATGAGTCCATAGGATAGGGATGCCCTAACATTTCACTGTTTTGACACAAAAATCTGTACAATGGCTAGTGCAAGTAAAGATAATATTTATAGTTTAAAAGTTACACAAGACAGTGATCCAAGTCTAAAATGTCTAGATTTTTGTTAAATCAGGAGCTGTAACTCCACAGATCTTCAATAAATTTGCATCAATATATATGTTTCAAACATTAGAAATGTCAAATGTGTTAAGTACTGTTTAAATAATGGATTTTAGGGCATGTTAGACGTTAAATGACTGAAGAAAGTTTCACAGAATATGCAGTAATCTGTCATTAAAGATAGCAAAATGTTAACAAAGTAGTAGTTTGTTTTCAATACAAAATAACCGTTCACTATGATTATACCCAGCAAAAGAAATCAAAGATAGTTACCTATGTGGCATTTCTTATTTTGAAAACTGTAACAAGATGCAAAAATGGAAATTTTTTGAGAAATAAAAATGATTTCTGAGGCATAATGGGTCTTTAAGACAAGAAATACCACCAGAAGAATTAAATGTATGTATTTAAAGAACGTAAAATGAACCATACTTTTACTTTTGGTTGAACCAGCTGATAGTTATAAAGTCCATATAAAAGGTAAAGTGCTCCTGCTCTCACAAGAAACGATGACGGTGGTAACCAGAACTGCGATGCTATATTGAAACACTGCTCAACAAACTGCAACAAAAATTTATACATCATAACATCATTAACATTGTTTTGGGATTAAGAAATTTGCACTGACACTGTTTGGGTCTAACGGCAACTGTTATTGATGCCTGTCTTAAGTCAGAAACTCCCAACTACCCAGCAGGTAACTAATACAACCATTCAACACATAACAACTCACCCAACTTAAGTGATGTTTCGTCCCACTTTTATTTTAATGATGATTTGCCAAATTTTAATGACAATTCATCCCACTTTATATTTATTTAGAAAAAAAAATATTCATTTGGATTAAAATTGTATATGGTTTGGGCATTTTTGCATTTATCTTGTTTATCTTTTATAGGTAAAATTTGAATATCTATATTTGTATATACTTTTTATTTAACATTCTCCCAGAAAGATTCCTACATTTTCATATGAGAAAAATGTCTTTTAATGGCTAACTATTCATATATACACAATGAAAACTTATACAATTCTTGTAATATACATAAATCTAATGCATCAAAAACAGTAGGAGTAATTTTTTTTTTAAATTTTATGTAAAGTTCAACTTCATGATATAATTTTAAATTTTCATTGATAAGACTTAAAGTGAAAAGTTATTAAAGGCTTCTCATAATATTGTTCGGACAGCGATAACGCTGGTTTCTACAGCCAGAACATACATTGCCGTTGAAAATTACTTGGACTCTTTTAGGGTATTTAAAAGAGACACTGCCCCCAAATAATCTTGTTGTAATATTATTTTGTGATGCAAGAAATTTTATACTTGCATATCAGACAGGTGTTTGTGCTGGAAATATAATCTGGCATGTGGGTGGGGATGGGGGGGGGGGCAGATAAGTCGCATGCTACACAATGGCATGCATAGGATGATGTAATTTTGCCGTTAAGAATGAAATTGTAATTTCTTACGCTGTTGTGAGAAAATAGTTACATGTATGTGTAATGACATAATTTCCACGGTAAATTGTTTAATAAAGTTAAAGAATATAAAATATAATAGAATATGCAGGAAAAAATATCTGATACATGTTTGCGGTTCTGATTGGAATATCTTTCCCGGGCAGCACGAAATACCCAAATATACCCAAATACACCCAAATATACCCAAATATTGCCCAAATATACCCAAATATTGCCCAAATATACCCAAATATTGCCCAAATATACCCAAATATTGCCCAATTATACTAAAAATAAATGTTTTATGCTAAAAAAGGGCTGTTTTAATCACGAATACAATATACACTTTCACTAATATATATTCAAACATACCCAAATATAGTTTTTCCTATCATTGTGTTTTGAACCATTAAAGCTATTTTTTTAAATAACGTGGACACTTGTATATGATATGAAATTTCAACAAAATTACATCTTAAAAATGTAATTGTAGACAACAAATATCATATCTTGATTTAAAATTGCAAGTACATTCATAAAGAACCTATATAGTAGATAAGCAAATGTCACAACTTTATTTTCTTACAACATCCAGAGCAACAGATAAGGTGCGTATTTGCGTATTTACGCAATTAATTTTATAAAATACGCAATTGATTTTTTAAGAATGCGTATCAAAACCCATTAAAAAAAATAAAATACGCAATTGTCTTAAAAACCCGTGCGTATTGTCATTTTTATCACCGCAAAATTAATCTGTCGTACACTCGTAGTTTTGGACAAATTATATCGATATGCATGATATCCGAATATTCCCGAATCAATGCTAACTAATCAACGGTCTCCGGTCTTCGACGGTCCCCAGTCTCCAAAGACAGACTTAAGCATGAGACCGTCGATTTGTCTACTCAGGTTGACGGTCTTTACAGACCGGCAGAGACCGTTGATTTTGAGGAGACCGTCAATAAGTAGGTCCCAGCTGTATCAATAGACGCTTTGAAAAGCAATATGGCGTCGTATAAAGTGAAAATGATTTGAAACAAAACAGTCGCAAATAATCAAAAATCAGTCAGAAAATGAACTTGTTAAAAATATTATGAAATTTAACATGAGCATTTTATATAAAAATAAAACAATTGTGAAAAGTTCTAGTAAATTGTTAATCCTATTTTCTTTTTAAAACAGTTAAGATATCTAAATTTAATTTTATTGATATTGAAACCATAAAATTCATATCTTCATAATTGAATACCCAATTGCTCTTGAAATCATAGGGTATCGAGTTTTGGAATACCCAATTAAATGGAGCCAATACCCAATTCCAAAGGAAATGATGGAGTAATACCCAATTCACTTTTAAAGCTTATCTGTTGCTCTGACATATAAACTGCCCATTTCAATGGAGTGAATGAAAGTTAAAGCAGACAAAGTAATATTATTTTTATAAATATTTATTTATTTCTCATTATAATCTATATTTTATACAAACAAAATTAAATATTGCTATATTTGGGTATATTTGGGTGTATTTGGGTATATTTGGGTATTTCGTGCCGCCGATCTTTCCCTCAACATTAGACTACCCGTACGAAAACTTCCGCCCTGAAAAAAGCAGAAATTCCGCCTAGCTACTAGGCGTAATCCGTCTAAGGCATTTCAGGTTTACATATCACAGATTCCTCCTATAAGCAGGAATACGCTGCGAAATATGCAAATTTTCTTAGGAGGAAAACAGTTAGGGTAGCAGGAAAAAAATCCTCCTTAGAAAATTTAACCAGGAAAAAATTCAGCTTAAAGAAAGCACTAGCAGGAGAAAATTCCGCCTTAGGAAAATTCTTAGCCGGAAAAAATTCCGCCTAAAATATTTTAACCAGGAAAAAAATACCTACTTAGAAAATCACTAGCAGGAGAAAATTCTTCCTAAGGAATACTAGCAAAAAATCCGCCTAAGGAAATAAGTTATTCAATTTTGTGATAGTACACTAATAAAGCTGAATTATGGATGGATACAACATTATTTTTTAGCTGCATTAAAGAATAATTGGAATCCAAAATTGCAGACAGACAATAGGTGATCACAATTACAAAGCTTTTAAGTTATTTTTGTGAGCTTTACCATAATGTTTTCTACATTAGGGTGCATGTACAGTACGTAAAAGAGTCACACACAAAACAGAAAACACGAGTTATATTTTTTATTGCACTGCTATTGTATTGTTTTAATCCATGGCAAATTATTTCATTTTATTTCACTGTAAATGTTTTTTTGTTCAGCCAGTTGTTTTCATTTTTATTCCAAGCATATCTGATCTGCTTTAACTTATGGTATCGTTAATATCCTTGTCCGTTACTCCTCCCCTCCCATTCTTTTTACACCAGCTTGAGACATATCCTGAAAAACACAAAACAGTCATCAGTAAAACACTGCCACCACTAATATCTTATATTATTGTTCTTGTCATTGTATGCAGTTATAATTTACATGCATTTAAACTATAATTCATACAACCAAACTTAGTGTTACAAATTTACTCTTCAAACTTAATGCAAAATTATTTTATTTATTTGAAATATAATTTCATTGTTTAAATGTATCCAAAAGTTACTTACCTGAATTTTTATGATTTGGTATTTATCTTCTTATCCAAGGTCAATGTAGCATTCAAAATTCATTTACAACTGCCGCATATCCAGATTATTGTCATTTCATTCACAAGGCTATAAGTCTTATTTTTTTCTTTTTGAAAAATTCAAAAATATTCAATCCTTACACTTTAAACAAAATATTATCTCAAAAATTGCTTATATATTATCACCACAATTTTTAACTATCAATAAATCCTTTGTTATTTGCTTTATTTCCACTGTCTAAGCTTCTGCTGACCCATATTTCCTATAGATTTCAAATTATGGACAAGTCCATGATATGATGGTAAAACAGGGATAATCCAACCCATCGTTTTATTTTCACAATTATATAAAAATACCAGAAAATAAATGGAAAAAAGAATCCAAAATTCATAATAAATATCTTTAAAAAAAACTTTGCAAAGTCCTTCTGAACAGACTCATCATATAAAATGTACAAAGTAACTGTTGCTTCCCCCCAAAAAATCGCATGGAACCCAATCTGGACTGTAGCAGAATTTACGATCTGACCTGTGTGTTAATCAGGTCGGTGGTGTTAAATCATAGCAGAGTGGTACTAGAGGGCAGTATTTATTTATGCGGTTTTATCCGGTTGATAAGAAAATTTTCAGGATATTACTCAAACTTTAATTATATTACATTAAAAAGCTTAATATATGAGTTTAGTTTATTACCCAAATTTAACAAAGTGAAATATATTCTATGCAAAAGTCATCACAACATCATTATATAATATGTTTGTTAAGTTTTAGTTTTGTTGTAGAGTTTTTTTTATCAACTAATAATTATATATATTTATGTTTGTACAAATTTTAGTTTGTTTCCACAACAATATTTTAGTTTTGAAAATCAACAATGAATAAAAGCAGCAAAATAATTGTTGTGCATCACTTAATAATCGAATTCGATTATTAATATACCTGTCATCTGCAGAAATTTCATCCAAATCCAAATTCAGAAATCTATCTAGTAAAATTTCTAAGTTTCAATTTTCTGGTTAACAAGAAAGTCTAAGTACATAATTCCTGTTAACAAATAACTGACAAAATTCTAAGTCCTAAAACCCGTCTAAATTATTGCTCATCCCATATTTTCCGCCTAAGCCTTAGGCGGAATATGAAATTGCTTAGCAGGATTTTTTACAAAATTCCGTGTCCGTCTTAAATTAGCAGGAAAATCTTATATACACGGAAATTTTAAGCGTTTTCCTGCTTATATTAGGCGGAATCCTGCTATCTTTTTCGTACGGGTATGAAACATAATTTTCTTTCAATTGTTACAATTTGTGAAGCCAGCATTTTGGATTTGTTAAAGATCCTCCTTATTTTTGGACAGGGGCCTTTATAAAGCAGCTATTATATAGTGCAAAAAAGCCCTGTAACCAAGATCCAACAATACTATACGAAATTGGTCTATCCGAATATACAGGCACATCTTTTTATGTCACATATATTCGCGATATACTAATTCACTGCTCATCCGTAACATACTTTATGAATTTATTATGAACTGAAAAAATATCAACAAACCTCTTTTGCTTCTCTGATTGTTTGTCTCCCAGCGCAGTAGCAGGACATGTTTAATTCTCTCCAACATTCTGCAAACTTTTCATAGCGTACAGTGCCTGCAGAAGAAAACTTCTGAAGCAAATTTTCAAAATCCGTTTTCACACCTATTGCAGGTTGATATGGATACTTTATTTTTGGACCATTGACCATTTTAAAATCTGAAAATGCTCCAATTTTATTTATTTTTTACCTATTTATCATCAATGTCTGTAAGCGTCTCTGTAATCAAAGGGAGACAACTGCGTAGGTATTTGAATATTTTATCCGAAGATTGACAGTTGCGATTGTTTCATTTTTTTTTATTTATAAACAAAAACTCATTGCGCTTAAGGTCAAAGAGTGTACAGCATGTGATCATATAATATAGGGAAAGTCTTTTAAAATTAAAGAGAAAACATTCCATATTATAATAATTGTAGATCTACATATAAAAATGTATGTATTAATTAATATGCAATGGGTGCAATGAATTTTATATTGGATGACCTGGGAGTATCTTGCATGGCTTATTATGAGTGCTGGTTTTTGGCACAAGGATCGCAAGAGACTTATATATCAAATATAGCTATGTGCTTTTACCAAGGATTTAGGGGATATTTAAGCTAATTAATTGTACTATATTAAGTACTATTGTCTTTATATAAAGTTGTGAAAATAACATCAAGTACAAATATTGAATGTAAGAGAAATATAGCACAAAGTCTAACGTGTACACTGATTAATTAGTTCAAAAGTTATTTGCTTATAGAAAAACAAAACATAGCCAGGTGTCTCTTTTGTAAAAAAGATGGGTTTTATTTCCTTATGTAACAAGTTTAGTTTTTTTCTTTGTTATTTTTCTTTTGTTTCACCATAACTTAACGTGAGATATAACCAAGGAAAATATTCTTTAAAATGATCTGCATGACTTTAATACAAACACAACAGCTTAAATGTTTAGTGAAAAAAACGTTTTCGTATTCACAGCTAAAATGTAGTATCGCACGATCATTTACCTTCCTCAAAATATTTTTCAATGCGTATTATGTCAATTTTGTAGCCCAATAAAATATTGTCTTACACATTTTTGTTCTCAACTTTTCATTCGAAATATTTAAGTTATCTCATTACAAAGTTGAATGCCTCACGCACATAAACATGTTTGGTATAAACAGACTCCCCAAATTTTTGTTATCAAAATCGGCAAAAAATAAAAAAATTTTAGAAATAATGTGTTTATAGGGGTTTTGTATTTTTCTATGTTTAAAAATTTATTAAAAAATGAGACTCCACAAAAAGGTTTATACAGAGAATTTTAAATTTCCCCTTTGCGGAAAAAGACTGTTTTGATGTCCATTGTTGCCTCGGGGGAAAATTTTCCGAAGGTACGAACATCCCCAAGAGCATTGCCATGCAGCAAATCTATAAAAACAAATTTTCCAGTCCCTTCTGTTAGTGATGTGAAAAATGAGTGAAAGGCATGGAATATTAATAAAAAAACTTTCAATTTTGTGAAAATAAACCCATATCTTTATTTAAATTTTTTACTTTGATAGGGGCACTAAACCCTTAATGCATGTCTGGGTCTTTTTGACTTTCAGAACGATTATATTCCGGAAAACATTCAAAATACATGAAAATTTGTCATTTTTGTGTACGAGTATTATATTTTGTGTGTGTGTTAATTACATTACGTAAGGTTCTTCAAAATAAGGACATAATTATTAATTTTGCAACAATAACAATAACTGCAACATCTAAATTCTTTTCAGAGGAACAAGGCTATAACTGCGCTTATAACGGTTTTTACCACAATTCATCTGGAAATTTTAATTATACAATATATATTTTCAAATATAGAATATACATATAGAAAATTATCGCACACAAATATTTTTTATGATGAACAAATATTCAGCAGGATTGAATAAATGTTATGGTATAGAATATAAAAATAGAGTTATACAATATAAATATTGGATATAGAACAAAAAATTAATTTATTAATTATCGCAACCTTTAACATGCCATAGATACACTGATTATCCACTCTAAATTTCAATCATGTTACAGATATTTGATAAATTGTTTTTCCACAAGCACAGATCCACGCGTCGGGGGGGGGGGGGGGGGTGGCTGAGGGCTAGATGACCTGCCTTGTTGTTTTTTCTATCAAAACAAAAAGTATATTATCTTCAAAAAGCTGGTTAAACAAAAATAAGGTCACTAAATCTTTGTTAATTGGAGCTATGTTGTCCCCTTCTGAGTGTCCAGTCATAAACACTCTGTTAGTCAATTTGGTCAATTGCCGACATATATATATAGTGTGTACGAGTATATACTCGGAGTTATGCAGTGCACACCAAACAAATGATCTTGATCCTTGATTAAATTCTTAGATTTGTCCAGCTTTTTTGTTGTTGTTTTTTCTTCTTTTTTTGTATTGCTATAAATATTCACATATAAGTTTGTTTATTTGTATATATATATAGTATAATATTTCAAAGTATGAATACCTCAAAGAAAAGATGTAACAAAATAAACAGAAACTATCACAACCGCTGAACCTTATAATACAGTGTAGCAATATTGTATATTTCATTTAACAATTTAACAGGACTATTTCTTGATAGATTTTTCTTTCTTAAGTATAATATATTCCTTTATTAATACATTTTTCTCATACATTGGCGGCCTTCTAAACAAACATATATGAGCCGCGTCACGACAAAACCAACATAATGGGTTTGCGACCAGCATGGATCCAGACCAGCCTGCGCATCCGCGCAGTCTGATCAGGATCCATGCTGTTCGGCATCTGTTTCTCTACTTGTTATAGGGTTTGTAAGCGAACAGCATGGATCCTGATCAGACTGCGCGGATGTGCAGGCTGGTCTGGATCCATGCTGGTCGCAAATGCATTATGTTGGTTTTGTCGTGACACGGCTCATATACACTTACTATCATATATTCTGTTCATTCATAATTTACTCCTTTAATAATTTATCTACAAATTGCCTCCCCACATACATTACCTGGTACTCACAACATGTTGCTTCTGTTCATTGGTCAAGCATTACATCCAGGCTTCCAAATTCGGCACAACTGTCCGATAACCGCACCCTGCAATCGGCAGTTTCGAATATCTGAGTTCAGGGATTTGATTTTATTTCAGGTAAGCAAAATTATTAAAAGAAATCTGTTCATGGTTTTCATTCTTTGTTGTTCGTGTTTTATTCATTATTCATTAATAATGTTATATAGGATTGAGAAATAAAAATATCATTATTCTGCTAGAAAATCACTTTCTTTACAGAATTGCTAAAAACTTGATATAAATCGATTACTTTTATTTAAATTTGCTTTTATTAAGACAATTTAGTACTAATTTCTTCTATGAAAATTATCATTTAATTGCTTTTAATATATTTACAATGACTCAAAGAACATATGTTTTATATCATATGTGTGTGTAATTCATATAGTATAATACCTTTATAAATATGTATATGATTCTTATAAAAGAGAAACAGTTTCGAATAACGGAGTTCAGGGATTTGCTCTTATTTCAGACATATAGTCAGCCTCCTTCAACAACCCAATTCCGAGTAATTCCCAAGGTCATTTTTTTTTTAAAAGACTTATCATTATTAAGTTTCCACTCATACATACAAGCATACAATTATTTTTTCCAGACGGGGTAAATGACAAAAAGTGCTGTTATAGATGAAATCTAATGTTTCATTAAACATTGCTTTCTATTGGTTGTTGATGAATAGACAGCGATAGACACTCAATCCTTTTTTTCAGCTAGTCTAAAAAAGTGAGAATACCGTGCATATCCAGTAACGCCGGAATGTGAAAATAACGCACGATTCGTGCAATAAGTAACGCAGAATTGTGCAATAAATGGCGGATACCTGACAGGATTTCCAACGCGGTAAGAAAACTGGCCAACATATTTTTTATATAACCGAACTGAAAAAAATCAATAGCCGCATACGGCTGCAAAGATATAACTCTTTATCCCTCATCAAGATTATTTCCACGAAATTGTTTACTTTTCAAGATCATTCGTGAAAATGATGGCTTGACCACCGTTTTGAGCGAGATTTTGGCTTTTTGTCGGCTCTTATAAGTACAACAATGCATATTATACCGTATAATTTCGATTTTCGGTAGGCAAGTGACATAAACCTAACTTCTTGTGATATAGAAAATTGAAAATAAACTGATAAAATGTGATTCAAGCCGTTTTTATGAGGTAACGCCGATGTACGTGAATTGTGCTTCGCGGTAACGCCAGAAAATGTGTTTTTTTCTTATATGGTACAGAATTATTACACAGGTTTAACGCCTTTTATCGGCGAATATTATCAAGTTATTTGCGACCTATAGTGAATGTATTTTCTTCGTACCTTATTGAGAAATATATGATAATTAGATCTTGACAAACTTTCAACATTTTGATTGCAAATTGTAACTTAGTACAATTTGACAATTGTTTCCTAAAATAAAAAATCATTATTTGCTGCCCACGTCTGATCAATAAACAATAAGAACAATAAACTTAGTTTGCAAATACACTGAATATAAAAATAATATAAAACAATCAAGAGAAGAAATGTCTGTATACTTTATGCCTGAAATAATTCACCAATAAAGCTTGAAAGTCTCTATATTTCCATTAATTGTGTTGGCGTGATGTAAAACCCCAACCAAAACAATTTTTTTTGGCTGTAGCAATTTGTCTGATGAACTTCTGTGAAATTGATTATTTATTTAATTTAGTTTTTCTCTAATATAATGAAGTAACTTGTCTGCCAAAGATATTTTACTTGAAAACTATAATGCTCCAACACTTGTAAAAGCACAACCTTATCTTATATTGTCCTCTGCTTAAGTTAAATAAATTATAACCAATGGGCTACTCTTAGGGTTTATTATTATATGTTAACGTGTATGGGAAAACATATGAATCTAACGTAAGAGTGTATGCTAAGCATTACTATAGACGTTTACAAAACTAACAGGACTAATGACCCTAAAAGAGGCCACCATAACAGAGCCAGGTCACATTCATACGAGTGACCATTTGCTCACTCAGGTAGCTTATTTGTACAGAGTGGAGCAAGCTCAGGTGAGCTAAAAGCTAAAAAGTTAGTGAAGGTAACTTGGCAGTTACTGATTTGTGTCCGTGACAAAGTCATAAGATTAAAGCCAGTATAGTAAATGTGTTTTGCTATTTCTACTTACA